CCTATATCCATGGCTTAGGGAGGGGCTGACTGACTGACTAATTGACAGACAGGGGGTAATGTGATCAGGCCTAAAAGCAGAGAAAGAGAGACAGAGACAGAGACATGAGGTGGTGTGTTCCACTCAGCCAGGGGCCTAACAAGTCCATTACTCCTCTGGTAGATTGGTCAATAATTGATTCGTTTGCATAATTGATGCCCCCACTTGTGCCAGAACCCTCCACAGAGAACAGAATGGAGGAATGGAGGGCGAGAGAGAGGAAGGGAGAGAGAGAAAGAGAGAGAGAGGAAGGGAGAGAGAGAGAGAGAGAGAGAGAGAGAGAGAGAGAGAGAGAGAGAGAGGGATGGAGGGATAGAGAGACGGGGTGAAAGAGATTGACGGCGACAGAAAGATTGACGGCGAATTAATGTCATTGCTTAATTGCTTGTCTTGAGAGGAATGGACAGACTTCCAGGGAGAAAAGAGGGAGAGATTGAGGGCGGGAGGGAGGGAGAGAGGGGATAAAAAAGAGAAAGAAATGAAAACAGTCACATCCAAAATTGTTGGCACCCTTGATAAAGATGAGCAAAAAATACTTTATAAATAAATAATACAAATAGTGAGCATGTTTTTCGAAAATGTATTTTTTAATATTAATAGCTCAGAGAAAAGATATCATAAAAAAATCTCAAAAAGATAGGTTTCAAAATGATTGGCACCACTGTTTTCAATACTATGTGCACCCTCCTGCGAGGATAATGGCACATAGCCTTTTTCTATAATGTTTTATGAGATTGGAGAACACATCGGGAAGGATCTATCTTAGACCATTCCTCCATAGAGAATCTTCTTTCCAGATCCTTGATATTCTTCGGTCTACGCTCATGGACTGCCCTCTTTAATTCAAACCACAGGTTTTCAATGGGGTTCAAGTCTGGAGACTGAGATGGCCATTGCAAAATGTTGATTTTGTGGTCAATTAACCATTTCTTTGTGGATTTTGATATGTGCTTGGGGTCATTGTCTTGCTGGAAGATCCACTTATGGCCATGTTTCAGCCTCCTGGCAGAGGCAACTAGATTTTTGGCAAAAATGTCCTTGTTGACCTTAACAATGGCCCCAGGACCAGTGGAAGCAAAATATCCCCATAACATTAAAGATCCACCACCATATTTTACAGTAGGTATGAGGTTATTTTCTGCATATGAAGAGTTTATTTCCAAAACGCTATATATCCACACATTTTTCACATTTGTGTTTTTTTTTATCAGAAATTAATGCTTATTGGGTACCTTTATGTGTGTGTAAAATATTACTGTCCTCAGATTTTAAATTAATCGATTTTAGATGTGTATTACAACTGGTTTTGTTGCAAAACACTATATATCCATTGTTTAGCAGGAATGGAATGTTCGTATCCTGTTTATTTAACATATAAATTCAATACATCATACATCTAGTGTCATGCTATAGGGTTTGGTTAGAAATAGGCCTCATCCCAAATGGCACCCTATTCCCTATATAGTGCACTACTTCTGACCAGAGCCCAGATCTCATATTACTGCATTTATTAATTTGATGTCACAAATGTATCATTTGTACAGTTCTTTACTAAAAATGACATTTGACTGTGTAAAACCTTGCAGTGCTACTTTTTTCTCTGAGAGTGAGATGGATATATCCCGTTTTGCAACAAAATATGACTGTCTCTCTGAAATGAAAGCATTTAGTGATAGGTTTCAAGCAAATGCATGTCTGTCATTTAACAACCCCATGCCATGATTAGATGGAGACAAAACACACCAATCTCTTTCGGAAGTTCTTTAAACCCAAAAAAACAAATTTACTAACATTTCTGAAAATGAATATATAGCGTTTTGGAATTAAACTCATATGCATCCTTCTTTCGGGGCCAAACCCACCACTGGTGTCATAGAGCTCTATTTTCATCTCATCTGGCATAGCACCCGGTTCCAATCCAAGTGTCAATGCCGTTTAGAAAACTCCAGGCATTTACATTTGTTGGTTGCTCTCAACAAAGGCTTTTTTTTATGGCAACCCTTCCAAATAGCCTATTGGCATGGAGGTGGTGTCTAATTGTAGATTTGGAGACTTGGTGACACCAAAATGCGAACAAATTCTGTAATTCTCTAACTGCGGCCCTTGGACTTTCCTTTGCCTTCCGAACCATCTTTCTCACTGTGCGTGGGGAAAATATACACTTGGGCTTTCTACCTGGCAAGTTTCCACTGTTCCAGTGGTTTTAAACTTCCTAATAGTAGTAAGTGGTGTATTTGCTCTTTAGTTTTTTTTGTACCCATTGCCTGATTTATGAAAGTCAACAACCACTTGTCTCTTTTCAACTGTAAGTTCTTTGCCTTTCCCCATGGTGATTCAAGTTTCAATGTTTATACGCAACGTGCACAGGACACAACAGGTGTAAAGCAGTACAGTGACATTCTTACTGGCAAGCTCTTTCCAACAGTGCAGTAATAAAGTAATACTTTTTTTGAAATAAAAACACAAGCGATACGAGATAAGATAAAGAAACACGAGGATGCAAGTATATACAGGTCAAAAAGGCAAACTCAGATGGCTCATTCATCACAAAACCCACTGATATTGCCAATTACCTTAATTATTTTTTCATTGGCAAGATTAGCAAACTTAGGCATGACATGCAAGCAACAAACGCTGACACTACACATCCAAGTATAACTGATCAAATTATGAAAGACAAGCATTGTAATTACACAAATGACTGATGATTGGCTGAGAGTAATTGATGATAAAAAGATTGTGGGAGCTGTTTTGTTAGACTTCAGTGCGGCTTTTGACATTATCGATCATAGTCTGCTGATGGAAAAACGTATGTGTTATGGCTTTACACCCCCTGCTATATTGTGGATAAACAGTTACCTGTCTAACAGAACACAGAGGGTGTTCTTTAATGGAAGCCTCTCCAACATAATCCAGGTAGAATCAAGAATTCCCCAGGGCAGCTGTCTAGGCCCCTTACTTTTTTTCAATCTTTACTAATGAACTGCCACTGGCTCTGAGTAAAGCCAGTGTGTCTAATGTATGTGGATGACTCAACACTATACACGTCAGCTACTACAGTGAGTGAAATCACTGCCACACTTAACAAAGAGCTGCAGTTGGTTTCAGAATGGGTGACAAGGAATAAGTTAGTCCTAAATATTTCAAAAACTAAAAGCGTTGTATTTGGAACAAATCATTCACTAAACCCTAAACCTCAACTAAATCTTGAAATAAATACTATGGAAATTGAGCAAATTGAGGTGACTAAACTGCTTGGAGTAACCCTAGATTGTAAACTGTCATGGTCAAAATATGTTGATACAACAGTAGCTAAGATGGGGAGAAGTCTGTCCATAATAAAGCGCTGCTCTGCCTTTTTAACAACACTATCAACAAGGCAGGTCCTACAGGCTCTAGTTTTGTCGCACCTGCACTACTGTTCAGACGTGTGGTCAGCTGCCACAAAGAGGGACCTCGGAAAATTACAATTGGCTCAGAACAGGGCAGCACGGCTGGCCCTTACATGTACATGGAGAGCTAACATTAATAATATGCATGTTAATCTCTCATGGCTCAAAGTGGAGGAGAGATTGACTTCATCACTTCTTGTAAGAAGTGCTGACATGCTGAATGCACCGAGATGTCTGTTTAAACTACTAGCACACAGCTTGGACACCCATGCATACCCCACAAGACATGCCACCAAAGGTCTCTACACATTCCCCTAGTCAGGAACAGACTATGGGAAACGCACAGTACTACATAGAGCCCTGGCTACATGGAACTCTATTCCACATCAGGTAACTGATGCAAGCAGTAGAAGACACCTTATGGAACAGTGGGGACTGTGAAGAGACACACACATACAGGCACTGTGGTATTGTGTGTAGATTGCTGAGGATTTTTATTCATTTAATCCATTTTAGAATAAGGCTGTAACGTAACAAAATGTGGTAAAAGTCAAGGGGTCTGAATACTTTCCGAAAACCCTGTATATGGATGATAAATGGATTTGACATGCGTTACCTAATTTTTATACCCCAGTGAAACAGGAAGCCATGAAAGGCCAAAATAAAGTTACTTAAACTGAGATTAACACACAAAAAAATTAATGCAGATTAAATGTTGTTTGATGTTATTTTTATAGGGGTGGCAATAATTTTGACACATATCTTTTTTAGATAAAAAAAAAACTTGTTAGCAATTGTATTAGTATAAAATAATATAATTTCAAAAACTTTTTTTTGTATACAGTATACTTTCTGGCATAATTTCTTTAGCTCGGTATTTGTATTGTTTATTTTATACCGTTTTTTTTGCTCATCTTTATCAAGGGTGCCAATCATTTGGGATGTAACTGTATATAGAGACGTGTATAGATAGAGAAAAGAAAAGACAGAAAGCGATAGAGACACTAAGAGAAAATAAAAGACAGAAAGAGCTAGAGAGAGCATTAGAGCTAAGGCAGGAGGAGATAGTAGGACACCAGGACACATCCTCACACAAACACACACACACACACACACACACAAACACACACACACACACAGACATGCACGCATGCAGACATGCACGCCGCACACACACGTCTTGTATAAATAACCTTGTGGGGACACACAATTCAGTCCCATTCAAAATCCTATTTTCCCTAACCCCTAACCCTAACATTAACCCTAACCCTAACCCTAACCTTAACCCCAAAACCTAACCTTAACCCTAAAACTAACCCTAGCTCCTAACCCTAAACCTAAACCTAATTCTAACCCTAACACTAATTCTAACCTTAACCCTAAACCCCCTAGAAATAGCATTTTACTTTGTGGGGACTAACAAAATGTCACCAGTTGGTCAAACTTTTGTTTGTTTACTATTCTTGTTCACAAGTATAGTCACACACACACACACACACACACACACACACACACACACACACACACACACACACACACACACGCGCGGGCGCGTTAAGCGCAGAACTATACCTTGAGCGTCATCTCCGCTACAAAGATGGCTGTGAAGACGTAGTTGGAGATGGTTAGGAATACTCTTTCCTAGAGAGAGAGAGAGAGAGAGAGAGAGAGAGAGAAGAGCGAGAGAGAGAGAGAGAGAGAGCGAGAGAGAGAGAGAGAGAGAGAGAGAGAGAGAGAGAGAGAGAGAGAGAGAGAGAGAGGGAGAGAGAGATATCACAGGGAGTTACACCCCTAGAAATAGAAGAGCATTGACTAATTATATTTCTATGGTTGAAACCTAGTGGTGAACTTTGATCCTTACCAGGCTGCCCTGCATGATCTTGGGTCTCTCCAGAGCCACGGTGATACAGTTGGAGAAGATGAATGCTAGCACCACATAGTCAAACATCTTGTAGGCTATGATGGACTGGCATACCCGCCTGAACCTGAGAGAGGGAGGGAGGGAGGTAGGGAGGGGGGGGAGGGAGGATAGTGGAGAGAAAGGGAGGAAGGCAGGTGGGGAGGGAGGGAGATAGTGGAGAGAGAAGGAGGTAGGCAGGTGGGGAGGGAGGGAGATAGTGGAGAGAGAGGGAGGCAGGTGGGGAGGGAGGGAGATAATGGAGAGATAGGGGAGGGAGGCAGATGGGGAGGGAGGGAGATAGTGGAGAAAGAGGGAGGGTGGCAGGTGGAGAGGGAGGGAAATAGTGGAGAGAGAGGGAGGGAGGCAGGTGGGGAGGGAGGGAGATAATGGAGAGAGAGGGAGGGAGGCAGATGGGGAGGGAGGGAGATAGTGGAGAAAGAGGGAGGGTGGCAGGTGGAGAGGGAGGGAAATAGTGGAGAGAGAGGGAGGGAGGCAGGTGGGGAGGGAGGGAGATAGTGGAGAGAGAGGGAGGGAGGCAGATGGGGAGGGAGGGAGATCGTGGAGAGAGAGGGAGGGAGGCAGGTGGAGAGGGAGGGAGATAGTGGAGAGAGAGGGAGTGGTATTGGGAGACAGAAAGGAAGAGAAAGAGAGCAAGAGGGAAAGAGAGAAACAATTTAAAAACATGTGTTTTGTAACATCTCTACTGATTAAAACCCATTATTGTGCCTCATTGACAGAGAACTGGGGATTGCTCATCATTCAGTCAGTAAATAGCCCCATTCTTGCTGATTATTTCATTTCCTTTCAAAGCAATTCCCATTAACTGGCGTTTTAAAGGCACCTTGCTCCATAGAGACACCACTACAATAGAGAGAGACAGAGAGAGAGAGAGAGAGACACACAGAAAGAGCAACACAGAGAGAGCAACACAGAAAGAGAGAAACAGAGAGAAACACAGAAAGAGCAACACAGAGAGAGCAACACAGAGAGCAACACAGAGAGAGCAACACAGAGAGAGCAACACACAGAGAGAAACACAGAGAAAGAAACACAGAGAGAGCAACACAGAGAGAGCAACACAGAGAGAGCAACACAGAGAGAGCAACACAGAGAGAGAAACACAGTGAGAGAAACACTGAGAGAGAAACACAGAGACAGAAACACAGAGACAGAAACACAGAGAGAGAAACACAGAGACAGAAACACAGAGAGAGCAACACAGAGAGAGAGAAACAGAGAGAGAGCAACACAGAGAGAGCAACACAGAGAGAGAAACACAGAGAGAGAAATGGAGATATAATGATAGAAAGAGATTACAAAACATCTGTAATTAAATCAGCTCCTACTACACAGTGAGAAATACCAAATACACTACATGACCAAAAGTATGTGGACACCTGCTCGTCAAAGCATTAGTGAGGTCGGGCACTGATGTTGGGCGTTCCAATTCATCCCAAAGGTGTTTGATGGGGTTGAGGTCAGGGCTCTGTGCAGGCCAGTCAAGTTCTTCCACACCGATTTCGACAAACCATTTATGTATGTACCTCGCTTTGTGCACGGGGGCATTGTCATGCGGAAACAGGAACGGGCCTTCCCCAAACTGTTGCCACAAAGCACAGAATTGTCTAGAATGTCATTGTATGCTGTAGCGTTACGATTTCCCTTCACTGGAACTAAGGGGCCTAGCTCGAACCATGAAAAACAGCCCCAGATCATTATTCCTCCTCCACCAAACTTTACATTTGGCACTATGGATTCGGGCAGGTAGCGTTCTCCTGGCATCCGCCAAACCCAGATTCGTCCGTCGGACTGCCAGATGGTGAAGGGTGATTCATCACTCCAGAGAACGCGTTTCAACTGCTTCAGAGTCCAATGGTGGCGAGCTTTACACCACTCCAGCCGAAGCTTGGCATTGGGCATGGTGATCTTAGGCTTGTGTGTGGCTGTTCGGCCATGGAAACCCATTTCATGGAGCTCCCGACTAACAGTTCTTGTGCTGACGTTGCTTCCAGAGGCAGTTTGGAACTCGGTAGTGAGTGTTGCAACCGAGGACAGACGATTTTTACGCGCTACGCACATCAGCACTCGGCGGTCCCGTTCTGTGAACTTGTGTGGCCTACCACTTCGCGGCTGAGCCGTTGTTGCTCCTAGACGTTTCCACTTCACAATAACAGCACTTACAGTTGATCGGGGCAGCTCTAGCAGGGCAGAAATTTGACGAACTGACTTCCTATGATGGTGCCATGTTGAAAGTCACTGAGCTATTCAGTAAGGCCATTCTACTGCCAATGTTTGTCTATGCAGATTGCATGGCTGTGTGCTCAATTTTATACACCTGTCAGCAACGGGTGTGGCTGAAATAGTCGAATCCACTAATCTGAAGGGGTGTCCACATACTTTTGTATATATAGCGTACCTCCACAGCTAACAGAACACTGTTGCAATGCCTTGCCAGCCTGCCTGCCTGAGCTCTATCTCTGAGCCTTGCGGTGTATTTATTGTTGACCAACAGATAGAGGATCGCTATGGGAAGCATCCCTTTGCTACCTCAGGGACAGGGATCCATACACTAATCAAGGCTCTCTCTGAACACCTGGCAACCCGTCCTCTCTATCGACCAGGTGAGGAGCCTGGCAACCCGTCCCAGTGTTATTGATTAGCTGAGTAGCCCAAAGGCTGGATGTAAAGCGGTGAGCAGGTATTCCGATAAGTTTGGGCTCTGCAATTGTTCTCTTGGGGAGTGGGGATCCACAGGTTGTGCAAGCTTTCGTTCTAGCCTAGAACTAATGCATCGGATTCAACAACTTATGAACGGAACACCAAAGCCTTGATTTGCTGTATCAGGTGTGTTAGTGCTGAGCAGGAAATGAAATGAAAGAGTGAACGAGTGAAAAGAGGGATTGACAGACAGACAGACCTGTTCTGAGGAGAGAAGAGGAAGACAGACCAGTCCTCTCTGGTCTCGCACCACTCTGGCCTGTAAACCTCCATCATCTTCTGGATACGGAAACACAGACTCTGGAGGAGGGACACAGCACACACACACAGTCAGAATACACACACACATGCACGCGCACACATATACACACCATACAGTTTGGTGAGTGCATTCAGTACACATACGCACATTGGTTCTAGACAAAGAGAAATGGCTATACTGTACAATACAATAATATTATTCCGATTATTCCACCTCCCACGAGCAAAGATGAATCCTCTGTCGTAATTGTTTACAAGAGAGGACACTTTGCTTTATCAACACCTAGAAGCATAATATCCAGCATCCCTATTTGTCTGCTCTACTCAGTGACTGAGTCCCAAATGGAACCCTATTCCCTATATAATGTACTATAGGCACTGGTCAAAGTAGTGCACTATATAGGGAATAGGGTGCCATTTGGGATGCAACATGTGTAAATATCATTATTAATTGGCCCTGGTTCAGTCCTGTATGTATGGGATTGCTTACTGTTGAAACAATAGAATCCCAGGGGAGAGACACAATGGGTAATCTACTGGAGAATGTATACCTGGATATTTATTTTATAAACTGCTATATAAAGAGTGGGTTTATTATACTATAAGCTGCATTAGGCTACTGGTCATGAATGAACACAGGTAAAACAACAGTTCCTTCTCTCCTATCTACAGTATCTGTCTTTATCATTGTTTATCATCATAACCAACTCACTCTTTAATCTTATTATTCAGATCCTCCCCTCCTCACTTACTCTATCCCTCACTCCTCACCACTCTCCCCCTCACCCAACCTCTCACCCATCCTCACCCCCACACCTCTCCCTCTCCCTAAATCTCTCACCCATCCTCATCCACACACATCTCACCTCACCCATCCTCACCCCCAGACCTCCCCCTCACCCCCAACACCAACTCACATAGTCGATGTCATCGTCCAGGTCCTCTCTGTCCTTGCGTGTGTTGACCTGAGGGAACACCTCTGTCAGTAGCTGTGGATGGGGATGTGGATGTGGTGGCAGCTGAAGTTGAAGCTGGAGCTGGGCCGAGGGGGCCTTCCCATTGCAGTCCTGGTGCTCCCCCCCAGCCCCTCCACCAACCAGCCCACCGGAGAAGCTCTTCTTCCTGGAGTAAGGCAGCAGCTGCGCCAGGGGGTTCCCCGGGACCTGGAGGAGCTCTGGTAGCTCCAAGGACAGCGCCCGGCGGTCCCGCTGCGGGACAAAGTGTCGGGCCAGGAGGGGAGGAGGGTGGGCGAGGTGTGAGGGAGGGTGAGGGGGGGAGAGGAGGGACTCCTGCTCGGCTGGGTTGGCGGCGTGGGGGCTGCAGGAGCGCAGGCTGCCCCCTCCTCCTACCTCCAATCCCAGGCCCAAGGCTCGGGAGGGCCGACCCAGGCTGTTCCAGCTGGACCGCCGGCCCCACATTGCCTGGGTCTGGAAGGCAGGGCGGCCCCAGTTGTGGTACAGGGAGCTGCGCCCCGGACACTGGGGGAGGGAGAGGGAGACAGAGAGGGAGAGGGAGAGAAAGACAGAGAGGGAGAGAAAGACGGAGAGGGAGAGGGAGAAAGGGAAAGTGAGAGAGACAAAGGGAGAGCGAAACCATTAGGCCAACCCAGCCATTTGCAGTGACTGAAGAGGGATCAATTAAAGAACAAAAAAAAACATTACAATGATGGGCAATTTCTTTTCAAATGGGCAATTTTATGTCATTTCCTGAATTGATTGCAACCATAGCCAGACACATCTCGTTCTGACCCAGTCCATTCCAAACCAGTTCTCCCTCCCATTGTACCTCCTTCCCTATTTCCTCTTCCCTCCTCTCTCCCCTCCCTCCAGTCTCCTCCCTCCCTCCTTCCTCCCACCACTCACCAGAGCCCTGCCCTCCAGGTTAGCCCTGCCCAGAGAGATGACACTGTTTTTGCGTGAGCCCAGAGCGAAAGTGAGCCTGTCGGCCGTGTACAGACCCGTGGGCGTTGGGGACAGGTCCAGGTGACCGTTGGGGGTTAGGGTGCAGATCTTAGGGTCTGGGAGGAGAGAAGGAGGGAAGAGGGAAGGAGGGGGAGAAGGAGATGGAAGAGAGAGAAGAAGGAGAAGAGGAGAGAGAGAGAGAGAGATGAGAGGACGCATGAGCAAGAGAAGAGAGATAAGAAGTGGTAGAGAGAGGAAAAAGAGGTCAGAGAGAGAGAGGATGAAGTTGAAGAAGAGCAATTTGAGTGAGAAACTGCAAAGCACATCTTAGAAGATAAAAGAAAGTGGCATAGACTGACTAAGCACATTCTCAACCTAACATGGTCTGACTAGCTCATGGAGTGTACTGTAAGTTTGTACAGTAAGACAAGTTTGGGTTGTGTATGTCTGTAGGGAGGAGAAGAGAGTGGGAGAAGTTGTGTTGTAACACATGTATTAGTTAACATTTCTGCTGCTTACATTTCAGAGAGATCAGGCTTGATCTGGGAAGCATTCCTAGCCTGGTCTCATCTGTTTGTGCTGCCTTCCTAACTATGGCCATGTCACGGCAAACATGACTTTTGGAGTTAGCAAAACTGCACAAATAGATCTGGGACCAGGCTAAATCATTCTAGCATCGGTGACTGGTTTAATATCAGACTTTAACTCAATACAATTCATACATTACATCTATTCAATAACATTCATACATCTTTAGAAAAAGGGAGATTTGACATTAGCAATAGCATTAATAGACTGGGTGAACTGTCCCCTTTGTGAATTCTGCTGCTTCACTGAGTCAGTATAGAAGTCAATGAAATCTACCTTTTAGTGGTTGCTGTACAACTAATTTCTCCCAGTGAACCTGTTCAGCCATTGCGGCTCTACAAGGTAGTGTTTCTACGGCTCTAAAAAGCTGTTTCTACAGTATAGTTTTAGGCCTCTGAGCCATACCAGAGAGATGAAGCGAGTCCTTCAGCTTGTCAGAGTTCTCGTCAAAGTTACACGAGGACCTGTCGTCTTCGGAGTACGACCGGTTGGCATCCCCCTGTTTCCAGAGGAGAGAGGGATGGAGGGAAGGAGCGAAAGAAAGAGCGATTAGAACTATGACAACAGCCACAGGCATTTTTAAATAGAAAACGTCAATCTTACCTGGCCTCATTCTGAAAGTATCCGAGAGGTAGGCCAGCTAAGTAACTTTTAAAGTTTTATCCCAGCCTTGATTTACTAAAAGCTACAGATCCAGGCAGTCAGAGTCAGTTTCTTAAGTGCCCAATCTGCTCTTTAGCTAAGCGCTCTATCCAATCAGAACAGGTTACCCCATCCTCCAGACTTGTCTTAGAGACTCAGACCACCCTTGCCTGGCTCATTAACGATTCATGTATCTCTGACAGGAGCTAAGCCTGTTAGTGAAAATTCACCAACAATGGAGGACTAATAAAAGTTACAAAACCTCTGGTCTTACCTCAGCCTGAAAGCCCTCTACCAAGATGGCCACCAGCAGGTTGAAGAGGACGTAGTTGCCGAAGGTCATTAGAGCCACAAAGTAGAGAGCAGCACAGGGAGAGGTGGAGGCCATTCCATTATACAGCACCATGTTCCAGTCTTCCTGAGTCAGAATCTGGGGAATACAGCATATAGATTAAGTTTACAGTTATACAGCTTTGCCATTCACTTAAATGAACTGAACCAGGCCTAAAATAGAACTTTGTGGTACCCCTTTCAAAATGTCCAGGAAACCAGATTGAGTTGCAAGTGAATGCAACTAAATGTGTGTGTGTGTTTCTGCCTGCCTGCCTGTGTGTGTATGTGTGTGTGTGTGCGTGCATGTGTGCACTTTCTGTGCATTTGCATGTGTGTGTGTGTTCCATACCTGAAACACAGTGACAATGGCCCACAGTAGAGAGTCAAAGTTCTTCCTGTCAGGAACAGTGTCTCCAGTCTCTGTCTTCAGACTGAACTTACAGCCAAAGATATGCATCCCCAGGATACTGGAATAGGACAGAGATATGTCAACTATAAACAGTAACATACATTAGTAGCAGCATCATACGCCTAACACACACACACACACACACACACACACACACACACACACACACACACACACACACACACACACACACACACACACACACACACACACACACACACACACACACTGAAAAGTCAGCACTTGAATAAAACAGTAAGCAGTGCATCTGGAGCTTCTGGTTTTGAAAACATACACTTCCTACATGGAGAAGTAGAGCCTCAGAGCTTCTTCTAACCAGTGACCAGGGAAGGGTTATGAATAGAGCGCTGTAACACACCAGAGTGGATACAATACCCATAGTGCCTTCAGGAGCGGCAACAGGAATCAATAACATTCACAATCGCAAGCAGCTACAGTGGGAAGATAGATAGGGTAGTGGGAGTGTGTTAGCTCACTCCATCGCTAGCCTGCTACCATCTGTCTCAGTGCACTTATGTGAGATTGCAGTGCTGCAGGGTGTATGTGTATGTGTGTGTGTGTGCGCATGTCTCGATGAACACCAGGGGAATGCTCTCTGTTATTGCTCTCCCCTCTATCAATCACACTCTACTGCTTATGCCCCTGTCACTCAAACAAGGAGGACATTGCTCTTCTGGAGCTGGAGGGGACTAGCCTCTACATTACTACCCTCACAGATAACACACACACAGACAGAGAGACAGACAGGGAGAGAGGAGACAGACAGAGAGAGGAGACGGACAGAGAGAGGAGACGGACAGAGAGAGGAGACAGACAGGGAGAGGAGACAGACAGGGAGAGGAGACAGACAGGGAGAGGAGACAGACAGGGAGAGGAGACAGACAGGCAGAGGAGACAGACAGGGGGAGGAGACAGACAGGGAGAGGAGACAGACAGGGAGAGGAGACAGACAGGCAGAGGAGACAGACAGGGGGAGGAGACAGACAGGGGGAGGAGACAGACAGGGGGAGGAGACAGACAGGGGGAGGAGACAGACAGGGGGAGGAGACAGACAGGGGGAGGAGACAGACAGGGAGAGGAGACAGACAGGGAGAGGAGATAGACAGGGAGAGGAGACAGACAGGGCGAGGAGACAGACAGGAGGAGGAGACAGAGAGAGGAGCCAGACAGGGTGAAGAGAGAGACAGGTGGAGGAGACAGACAGAGAGAGGAGACAGACGCACGCACGTACACACACACACACACACACACACACACACACACACACACACACACACGCCTATACCTGAAGATGAAGATGAAGAGCATGAGGAGCATGCAGAAGGTGGCCACGTTGTCCATGGTCTTCATCAGCACCACCAGCTGTCTGCGCAGCGCGGGCATGAAGCGCACCAGCTTGATCACCCTCAACAGTCTGAAGGTCCTCAGGACAGACAGACCTCCATCAGACTGGCCTATGATCTCACACACACTGGAGAGGGGAGGGAGAGATGGAAGGAGGGATGAAACAGATGGATGCAGAAAGAGAGGAGAGAATAGGGGAGGAGAGAGAACGAGTGGAGAAGGGATAGAAAGAGAAAAAGCCACAGGGGGGTGGGAGAGAGAAAGGAGAGGGGTAGAGAGGGGGACAGATAAAGGTGAGAGTGAAAGTGAGGGGAGAGGAGAGAGGAGTGAGGAGAGAGAAGTGAGGAGTGAGGAGAGAGGAGAGAGGAGTGAGGAGAGAGGAGAGAGGAGAGAGGAGAGGAGCGAGGAGAGAGGAGTGAGGAGAGAGGAGAGAGGAGAGAGGAGTAAGGGAGAGGAGGAGAGAGGAGTGAGGAGAGAGGAGCGAGGAGAGAGGAGTGAGGAGCGAGGAGAGAGGAGCAAGGAGCGAGGAGAGAGGATAGAGAAGAGAGAGGAGTGAGGAGAGAGGAGAGAGGAGTGAGGAGAGAGGAGTGAGGAGTGAGGAGAGAGGAGAGAGGAGAAAAGATGAGTCAGACAGACAGAGAAAGGGAGAGAACAAAATAGAACAGACACAAATCCAGACAGCAACGTTTCCTAATTTCCCCTCTGATCCCAAACAGAAACCAACGGGAACATTCAGCTGTCAGAATCTTCCAATGCCAACCCAAAAGCTCAAGGGGACAATCCAACATCCATTATTCGAACATTCCAACTGACATCCCAAAGCTGTGACATTCTGACATGGTAACTGTTCTGGTAATGTTCTGGTTACATCCTATTAACATAATTCCTGTAACATTCTGGTCACGTTCTGGATAAAATTCTGTGGTAACGTTGGGCAGGCCCCCTGACCTGATGATGACGATGATGCCGTCGAAGATGTTGTAGGGGTTCCTCAGGTAGGCGAAGAAGCCAAAGGCGGTCAGCTTGAGGATCATTTCCAGGGTGAACATACTGGTGAACACAATGTTACTGATCTCCAACACGTTAGTCAGCTCCTCCGGCTGGATGGAGAGACCAGAATAAAAAGAGAAGGCAGAGAGAGTTACTGAGGTAGAATCAGATTTTTTACATTTTAATTATTATAATACTGCCTTCAACAATTGAACAATATGAAACTGCAGACAACCAACACACTTTCAGTACTGAGACACCTGTACAAACCTGTCACATAGACTACAACACAACACAACAGGCTATACAACTTGATATAGTGAGCTACATCCACCTCAGTGGCTCAGTAACTTTTACGAATGAAAATGAGAAAAGAGACAACATGAACACTGGCCTGAAATGTCATGTTATTGTTTTCAGAGAGACCGATGGAGGGAGGGACGGAGGGAGAGAGAGAGAGAGAGAGGGAGGGAGAGAGAGAGAGCAAAGGGATGTAGTGCTGCCATTTTCTGTCCAGAAGATTGTGCTTGCTTGGAAGCAGGATTAGTGCACAAACACACACACACACACACTCGCTAAAGCCTATCCCCACACTCCGCAGCGCGTATGTGATATGGATCAGATGGTATCTGTGATTACCAGTGAAATCTGTGTATCAAGGACAATAGAGATACAGGCTAGCCAAGACACTCTTTCTTCTCCTCTAATCCTGTTTTTCTCTGTTCCCTCTCTCTCTTTGTCTCATTACCAGGCACCTCCATCTCTCCGTGATCAATATCTCTCTATCGATCAGCTCAGGGAGAGAAAAAAACAAGAGGAGAGAAGAAGACAAAAGAAGGAGGAGTAAAACAGACTGGCAGGCATGGTGGAGGAGATGAGGGGATGAAGGGAGGAGAGGATGGGGAGAGGATGAGACCTAGTGCTGACTGATTAACTCAAATGTCGTTATTTTTTGGGTTATTAAATAACTAATTGACCAACGTCGGTTAAATTACTTGAATTCCATTTATACATTTTTTGTGAGGTCTCCTTAGAGAAATCAAATCATTCACGAGAGAAATTAAGTCAAGAACTAAGTGGGACGCTGGGCTGAAGGGAGTTGTAGTTTTCACTAGGTAAATATTCAACCTATTTCAGCACAGACATGTGGTAATTACGTCAGCCAGATCGCTCAAGATTGACTTAGAAATTGGATGTCTGTCCATGTCAACGTCAGGAAATGCCTTCAAAACCAGCAACTAGGGGTAACAGTGAGCACTATTACCATCAAGTAGGCTTGGGTTTTGCTAGGGCGTTGTGGACAGGAGTCCTATCTATCCAAAATGTAATGTGTATAATAAAAAATATATATATTTTAAATGCTTTTGTTGTTTAATTACTGTGTATAAAAGTAGCATGTATGTGAAATGTGTGTAAAATGTATATGCAAAAAAAAAAAGCTGTACAAAATAAAAATGTAAAACAAAGTTACTTTTGTCCTCCGAAGAGTGGATTGGCCAATTGAACAAAAAAAGCTATCCCCTTCTGTCTTCCTCCTCTCTCAGCCTTCCCACCTCCTCTCCCTCCCTCCCTTTCTCCTTCTGTCCCTCTCTCTCCTCTTTTCCCCTCTCACCTGTTTACCCTTTCATCTCTCCTTCCTGTCTTTCATTTCCTCCCTCACAGATACCTGCACCTCCCTGCCTGCACATCCCTCTCTCCCCCTTCTTTCTCCATCCCTCTCTCTTTGTAGTTCTCTTGCTTCTATCATTGAATGTTTACTGAATATACACACACACACGCTGTATATAAATGCTAATAGGGGGACCCTCTCAGTCATGCTACCATTGATGTGAAAGATGAATGCTGATGAGTCAGAGATTATGCAGTCACACACGTCACACACATAACAAACAACACACACACAGCAGCTCTGAATGAAGACTACAAGTAACGAATCTGAAGGACATCTACTGAAGGTCATATCCTCACTGTATGCTCTTAACACATTTCATGTCATCCTTCCCTCAGGGGAATGATACAATAAAGTATTAGTAAGCCCTGTTACCAAAGAGGGAAACACATACGCTTTCAGTTATAGAACACAACCACCTGGAATAACACTTAGAAATCTACTGCAGAACACACAACGCCTCTGCCTCTGCCTCAGCCCAGAGAGACCATTGTGTAATGCCGTTGGAGTGTGTGTGTACATGCATGCAGGGAATAGAGCTGAAAATGCTGCGTAACAGGCGTCTGCTCCCTCTTCTCTCTCTTTGAGTTCCTGTCCTCCTCTCCTCCTCTCCCCACATCCCTCTGTTATTTTTAGAGTCTTCAGAGATGAGAGAACCGACTCCTCTGCATGCCGTCAAGGAGTGAGGGGGTGGATGAGAGATGGAGACAGAGGGAGGGATGGAGGGAGAGAGAGAGAGAGAGAGAGAGAGAGAGAGAGAGAGAGAGAGAGAGAGAGAGAGAGAGAGAGAGAGAGAGAGAGAGAGAGAGAGAGAGAGAGAGAGAGAGAGAGAGAGAGAGACAGAATTGAGAAGGGAGAGGGAGGGATGGACAGAGACAGGGGAGGAGGGAGACAGAAAGAGGTAGGGAAAGGAGTGGTGTGAGACAGGAGGGACGGAGAGAGCTAGATGGAGAAAGAGAGGAGTTGAGGGAGGTAGGAGCGGTTATGTAACAGCCAGGGTGGGTGTGTGAATTTTGGCATGAAGCTACCACACCCCTTCCACACAGGCAGCTCCCTACCTTCCTCTGTCTCTCTCAGGAGAGAAGCCAGCCAGCACCAGAAGCAGGTTTAGTGTGTACCTACCTAGCTTTTATAGTGATATCATTGTGGTGGTCTATCGGTTGTATAATGTTACAATAAATGCCCATATTGATGGTGTTCCATGTATGTCACTGATATCTGACTTCTAATAACTTGTAGTACTCATCCATTGGACGAATCTCGACCTTGCTAGCCCACTAAGCTAGTCAATGGGTTAGCTTTGGGGACTAAAGAGCAATACTGATGTTGTGCACGTTGTGTATATGTGCTGTGCTCCCTGACTGTGGTATAGTTTACCTTTTGTGGTGTTCTATCCCATGTTAATAGTATCGATGAGAATAGTATATTTACCTGGTTGTGATGTTCTATCCCCATGCTGATAGTATTGATGAGAATAGCGATCATGATTCCTCTATTGAAGTATTTGCTCTCCACGATGCCCCAAAGTTTCTTCCTCATCTCATCCCACATGTCCTTACAGTGCCCAAAACACGACCTCCTCTTCCTCTTCTTCTTCACTCCCTCCCCCTCTTCTGCTTTCTCCTCCAAGTGGTTCTCCTCCCTGTCCGTCTCCTCCACGGCCCCCTCCTCCTCCTCCCCATTGGCTGAGTCGCCCACAGCTCCCGCCCCCTCCCTGAGTGACAGTGCCGCAGCACACTGAGGGCAGTCCTCTGTGTTTTGAGGGACAGCCAGGGCAATGGAGTTGCCCAGTGGTTGGGAGCTGTGGATTGGGTCCAGCTTGCTTTGGTGAGGACAGTGAGATTCTAATGAATGATAGAGAGGGAGTGTGAGAAAGAATCAGCTTATCACTAACAGCATCAATAGCCACCTTCACATTGTCGCACTATATACATGTAAGCCAGTGTGTGCTAGCGCCAAAGATCTTTGAAAGTCGAGAGATTCAACAAGACTCATCCCACTGGCTCGCACGAAACAATGTGAAAGAGGCTAATATAATGTTACATTTCAAGTTTAGGCATTTAACAAAAACTCTCTTTCTTGTGCTCCCACCCGCTGCCTCCCACTTACGTCGCGGCTGCCTCGGGTGATGCCTGTCCCCTCCGTTCGCATTCCCTCCTCCTTCCCCTCCTCCTCTTCCTCTTCCTCTCCCTCTAGTGGGTGGTGGTGGCAGAGGCCTTCCTCTCAGTTGGTTATACAGGGCTACAGATCTCCTGCGGGCCTTGCGCAGCATGTGGCAGACCAGCTGGAAGAGCTCTTCGTAGCAGTCCCCCGGTTCATGCAGGCTGGCCAGGGTAGAGGAGGACAGGCACTGGGCCCGCTGCTCCTGCATCAGCTGGTGCTCCCGCTGCTTGGTCTCACTGAACTGGGTGGCGATGACCACCAGACATAAGTTGATCATGAAGAACGAGCCAATCTGTGAAGTGGTGGATAGTCAGAGATGAGTTAGAAACACAGAGTTACTGTAGTGAGTGCTGAAGGGCAACCAGAAACACACACAGAAACGTACAGTGAAAGACCACTGGTAGTCTATAATGGAGTTGCTGGCCAGCGCACGCAAGATTCTCTTTTTTGCTTTGAGATGAGTGAATTACAATCAGGGGGACCCCAGGCCTCCAGACATATCTTGAGGTACTTCATTATGGTTTACCTCTACTGCAGACTGAGGGAAAGAGGAGTATGATAATAGAGCAGAGAGGCCAAAGCGAAAGAGGAAGTGGACGAGAGTAGGAGGGAAAATACATAGAGCAAGACTTTATTTTAGTGATGGCCCGAGGAGTAACACATTACACTAACAAATGACAACCAGAATATCTCTAGCACATTAGACAATCATTCCTTCATCATTAGTATCAAGATATGCCTCTGGTCTCATCATTTGGGAGTTAGATATAAACAGTATGTCTCCTTCAGTTTTGGTCGACCACCCTCTACCCACCCGCACATACAGTACACACTGTTGCTGTTTTTTCCTCTCAAGTTAGCATTGATGCTAATAAAGTGTGCTGTTTGTATGCTGTTTCCCCCTTAGCAATGTTAGAGTGATGTTAGCGCTCATTCTAAAGGTCTAAGAAGGCTGTAGTTTCTAACAGTCAGAGTGTTATTGGGAGAGACAGATAAATAAATAAAAAATAGATTATGCTCAATGCAAGTAGACACAAAGTCTCACTCTGTTTATAATATTATCTCTCTCTCTCTCTACTAAAAAAAAATGTGATCTTCATTCACACAACTGTTTCTTCTTACCCAATATCAGGACCAGTGTGAGTCAGAAAAGAGAGAACGCCTGCATTCTCTACCCTTCTCCCTGAAGTGTGGACTTGCTCACTGCCCCTCATAAGCATTGGATTGGTGAAACCACAATCCTTACACCAGTCCATTTCTTCTAAATCCATGCAAGGGAAGTGAAGGATTGCACAGAATGCACAGTTTGGGGAAAAGGGGAGGGCAGCCCAGGAGTTTACCTGGCCCCTGGCTGACCCTGTGGGGTGATGAAGTGTTATCTGACAGGCAGACTGCAGGGCAGGTTGTTAGGTTCTGCTGCACAGCTTCCCTCTCCTGATCAGATCAATAGGAGAGATGTACAACCCACTGGACCCCACCCAGAGAAAACCCATAGGAGTTGTCTTCCAAACAACACACAGATCTGCTATGTTAAAATGCAAATTGTAGCGTATGCAAATTTGTAATTTCCACTTTAGAATTTCAGACTTGATTTGGCCTAACGAAAAATGTATCAACCCCTACAAGAAATGTCCATTAATTATAATCCACATAATAATTCACATTTCCTGTTGCTGCAGGATTATTTTCAAATGAAGATAGCGCATCTGTACACTCACACACACTAATACATGCACGCCGGCACGCGAGCATACATGCACAAGCACACACACACACACACACACACACAGAAACACGCACACACACAAACACGCACAAACACACACGTCTCCTAGGGGTGGATCAGGCTCAGAGTGTGTGGAGCTGTGTGACGGATGTGGCAGCACTGTGTAGCTATTAAACATAGCACTAAGTCTCTTTAAAAAGGGAGAGCAGAGGAGAGGAGAGGAGAGGAGAGGAGAGGAGAGGAGAGGAGTAGGAGTGGGAGCTAGTAGTCTTCCTTCCTTTCCTTCTCGTCTTTCCTCTTCTCCTCCCCCTATACCCGGAAGCCTTCGACTGCACAAACTGAGAGAGAAATGACACCCCTGGAATAGGCGGTCCAGCCTCTAAATCTTCACAACAGAGTGTAGAAGAGAGATGAGAAGAGGAAGGACAGGAGAAGAGAGGTGTGTTCCAGAGTGGAGAGGAGAGAGGAAGCTTCACAGCAGGGTACCTCTACATCCCACAGCTCATTCCCCTCAGTCTCACATCTGACACCTTACACAACACCACACAAACGACAGCCCACACATATCCATCCACACTGAGGATCAAAGTCCCTTAGAAAGGTGAAAGAGAGAGGGGGAGATTGGGAAGAGACGAGGAGGAAGAAGGGAGTAGAGTGGACAGGGATAAGTAGAGAGAAGAGAAGAAGGGGAGGGAGGGCCCCATCTGTGATCCTAGATCAGGGCTGGTCTGCAGGTGTGTGGGGCCTTTGATTCGCCTCCAGACAGGTGTGTGTGTGTGTGTGTGTGTGTGTGTGTGTGTGTGTGTGGTGTGTGTGTGTGTGTGTGTGTGTGTGTGTGTGTGTGTGTGTGTGTGTGTGGGCCTGTGCCTGTGCATAATGCTTTAATAATGTGAATCAGTGATATTGGACATCCTGGTGATTAGGATCAGAGTAGCCTGCTGATCAGAATCACTAATCACACACACACACGCACGCACTCACCACACACACACACACACCACACACACACAAACACACACACACACACACACACACACACACACACACACGCTTCACACTGTCAGCAAAGAGCATCCCTTCTTGGTGTCACTCAGCTTTAAGGTTTCATGTATAGTCAAGCATATCTTCATCTTTCTTTCATGACACATCAACTTGAAACAGGCAGAATTACTAGCCTTTACTAGAAGTACAGTAGAGTGTCAGCTATTGTTTGACGCAGTAATATGGGAGTCAAAAATTCTTCCGAGTCTGTAAGTCATTCACAGGTAGAGCTCACTTATAGGATCATCTGACAACCTTTGATTTATAAACTCCACGTAATACCAGCCCTTAATATAGAGGACAAGAAAAGGGAGCCTCCGGGAGAAGCAGGGGAGAGGAGAGGATAAGAAATAGGAGAAGAGAGGAGAGAGAAGAGAGGAGGAGAGGACGACGAGAGAGCATGTTTTTGCGAGAGAGGGAGAGAGAGAGAGAGACACACAGAGAGAGTAGGCAGACCTGGCTCTCAAGAGAAGACAGGCTATGTGCACACTGCCCACAAAGTGGTCCTCTGTAGCTCAATTGGTAGAGCATGGCGCTCGTTATGCCAGGGTAGTGGGTTCAATCCCCGGGACCACCCATACGTAAAAATGTATGCACACATGACTGTAAGTTGCTTTGGATAAAAGCGTCTGCTAAATGGCATATTATATTATATATTATAAAATGAGGTGGAAACTGAGCTGCACTTTCTAACTTCGTGCCAAATGTATGACCATGTTAGAGACATATATTTCCCTCAGATTACACAGAACCACAAAGAATTCGCAAACAAATACAATTTTGATAAACTCCCATATCTATTAGGTGAAATACCACAAATATCACAGCAGCAAGATTTGTGACCTGTTGCCACAAGAAAATAGCAACCAGTGAAGAACAAACACCATTGTAAATACAACCCATATTTATGTTGATTTATTTTCCCTTTTGTACTTTAACTATTTGCACATCGTTACAACACTGTACATAGCCATAACATTACATTTGAAATGTCTCTATTCTTTTAAAACTTTTGTGAGTGCAATGTTTACTGTTCATTTTTGATTGTTTATTTCATCTATTTCATTTGCTTATGTTTCCCATGCTATTAAAGCCCTTTGAATTGAATTGAGAGAGAGACAGAGAGAGAGAGAGTGAGAGAGAAAAGAGAGAGAGAGAGAGAGAGAGAGGAGAGAGAGAGAGAGAGAGAGACAGAGAGAGAAGAGACAGAGAGAGACAGAGAGAGAGAGATAGAGAGAGAGAGAGAGAGAGAGAGAGAGACTGTTGGAGAGATTAAGAAAATAACCAAGGTGGTTCTAACTAAGAACAACATACAGTACCCCAAATGGTCAGCTCCACTTCCACTGAGCCTAAGGAGCCTTTACAGCGGGCCAAAGGGCTACTCAACAGTAAGGTACATTGTCCCTAGACAGTGATCTATGGTCAGTTGTACTTTTTACTCCCTAATGTTACATTGACGCTTTTGGGAGGGTAAGCTGATCCTAGATCTGTGCCTAAGGGAAAAACTGCCAGTCACCAGTCAGTTGCCGAGCAACAGGCTAACATGACTGCGATTGGAGCAGATAGAGGAAGAGGAGAACTTGGAGGGAAGATACGGAAGAAGTTCAGACACGCCCACACACAGAGGTTAAAGCCAATCGAGTTGCTGCATTATCCCCAGAGAGACGTGACTATGCTGCGATTTGACGCCTGTCTCCAAGTCTCAAAGGACGCTGACAATCAGAATGTGCGCTGCCAATGCCAGCCTCTGTTTCAGACTTGCCAACCAAGTGATCGCTTATGTATTCACACACCACCATGACACTGTGGTATCTGGACAATTTATGACTTTGCTAATGGTTGCAAATGGTGTTAGAGGATGTTGACTTAGCTTAAGGGGAGCACCTGGAGAGTAGTTGTATAGGGGCACCCTAAAGCAGAGGAAGTCTGTTAGGTGGAGTCCTGGGATTGGTCTGTAGGGGAAAACACCCATATCAGGTTACATAGGATATATACTATGGTTTGGGACAAAGGAAGGGAGAATAACATATTTAGAGATTGGGTCCGGTTATTCTCCAGATGTCTGCAGATATCTGTAAATTGGCGCTGAGATCTTCAAATGTAATAAATAATTATAATCGAGGACAGTGTCAGCGGAATTCTTGTTCTCACAGCATCTCAGCATAGTTTTCTCGACACTACAACACAATCATCTTAGCAGGATTAGGCCTATTTAACGGTACAGTGATATTCTGCCTGGCATTCAATCAAACTCGCAATATAATTGTTTACGTATTGCCAGTGTTTACAAACTCCTGCCCACACACACACACTTCTTATTCTGATGAATAGGAATCATATACTTTTGAAAGGAGTCTACCTCTTTGCAGTAGTAGGTTTTACAGAAACCCAAACCATTTTGTGATTTTATTTAACCACTCAAAAAGAGCTACTGCAATGCGGGTTTGATAGAATTGAACACACACACAATAGACTAGAAAAGACCCCCTGCTCATGTTAGTGGTGATGACATGGAGGGTTCTCTGCATGGTAATAGTGGGAGGGTCTAGAGAGGAGCTGCTCTGCGGTCGTAAAGATAAGAGCATGAATCCAACAGGTTTATGACTGTCCTCTCAAAAAGCTAACCAATAAGAGTCTAACTGTATAGTATTGCTGATTAATCCCAATGATGTTTCTCTCACAAGTTTATTTGAGAATGTGAATACCGTATAGCAGGGTTCTTCAATTCCGGTCCTGGAGGGCCGAAACACCTCTGTTTTTCATCCTCTCCTTCTAATCAGGGGCTAATTCAGACCTGGGACACCAGGTGAGTGCAATTAACTACCAGGTAGAAATAAAAAACAGAAGTGTTTCAGCCCTCCAGGACCGGAATTGAAGAACCCTGCCGTATAGGATCTCATCTCCTTTCCTTCAAATAACTACCCAGAATTCACAGCAGTCACTTCCTCTGAGTCCTCAGAGGGCCGTCTGGCAATGCATGCTGGGATATGAACACATGATGACATGGCATCACCCTGGGGACAGCATGTCTCTCCGTTAGGATCCGCGTCACAAGTATGTGTGTGTGGGTAGACGAGTGTGCGTGTGTGTGTGTATGTGTCACACACTCGCGAGGCCCAAGGAACTCTCGATCAGAGCCCATCGCTCTGATCGTCCCTAATTAAACGCTAATGCTAATTCTGTCGCTCGCTGTGACCCAAGATGGATTAAGACCTATTGCTAGTCAGACAGCACGCCGCAAGGCGCGGATTAAAATGGCCGCCGGGTGCCACTGAGCGACCTGACGCCTGCAGAGAGGGAGACATCTCAACCTGTTTCTCTCTGAAGTATGCAGGCTAGACACCCACTCTTCTCTTCTCCTTTTATCGGTCCATCCTCCTCTTCATTTACTCCACACTTTCTCTTCCTTTCATCCCTCTCTTCTCGTCTCTCTCTTTTCATTCTCCTCTTTCTGTTTTATCTCATATCCTCATCCCTCCTTCTCTCTCTACGTTTGTGTCTCTCAAACTCTTTCTTCATATACATAATTCATCCCTCTCTTTCCTTCATTCTCTCTCTTTATTCTCCATCTCCTCCTTCTCCTCCTCCTCCTCCTCTCTTCCTCTCTCCTTCCTCCTCCCCATCTCTCTCTCTTTCCCTCCTCCCCATCTCTCTCTCTTTCCCTCCTCCCCATCTCTCTTTCACTCCCTCCTCCCCATGTCTCTCCCTCCTCCTCCCCATCTCTCTCCCTCCTCTCTCTCCCTAATCTCCCTCCTCTCTCCACCGGATATTCTAAAGCTGGCCCGTATTTCTCCAGCTTCAGGCGTATTCATCAGTGTTTATACTCTTCATAAAACATGGCCGCCAATAAAGCAAGAAGGAACAGGAGGGCCAACCTTTCAGCCCCCTCTTTGTTCTCACCTCCATTACAGAGATTAAACCTCAACCACAGATAAATTCACTTTACTGTATACCTGGGCATTGATTCTGGAAACTGTGTATCTTATGGTCCGATTTTACAAGTCTATTAACACTGAAATCTGCCAGTCAGAAACGAGCCCCATAGGAGCTATAGGAGGGCCAGGAAATGAGACCTCAGAGGGAAAGAGGAAACACTTATAAAGCCAGAGTAGTAGGGTGCAGTAAGATCAGAGTGGAAAGAGTGCATCACAGATCACACTCCCTCCTCACGTTTCAGTCGGAGGAACTTTGCCCATAGACACTGAAGGCCAGTTTTGCGTATGAAAAAAATGAAAGCAAACAATCTCAATTGAGCTCTTAACGCATAGGGCGTAGGGTTGCAACATTCTGGTATCTTTCCCAAATTTCCTATAGGTTTTCCAGAAATCCTGGTTAGAGGATTCCTGATTTCCTGCTTCCAGGAATCAGAATTTTGCGAACCTAACAGGGCGTTGTTTTGTGGTGGAAGCCCAGTTACAGACTAATTGACAAAACACAGGACAGATTTGTTCTGATAACGTCATGTGAATGGTGTGTGTAGTGTACTTACAATGATGAGGAAGATGAAGTAGATGAAGTTGTAGAAGGAGTGAGCATCCATTACATAGTACATGATCTCTACCCAGCCCTCCAGAGTGATCACCTGGAGACAGATACACAACCAGGTGAGGGTTTGTGTGTGTGTCTGTGAGTGAGTGTGTGTGTGTATCCCCACCCCACCCCACCCCACACCCCCTCCCCACAACCCCTCCCGACACCCTCATTCCCTCCCCACACCCCCTTCCCACACTCTCATCCCCTCCCCCACACCCTCATCCACTCCCCCACCATCCTCCCCCCCCCCCCACACCCACCCACCCCCCTCCCCACATCCTCATCCCCTCCCCTCCCCTCCCCTCCCCCTCCCCTCCCCCTCCCCTCACCTCCCCACACCCTTATACCCCTCCCCCACTCTCATCCCCTCCCCACCCCCCTACCCCCTCCCCCACCCCCAAACCCCCCCCCCCCAAACCCCTCATCCCCTCCCCACACCATCATCCCCCCACACCCCATCCCCTCCCCCCATCCACACCTACCTGGAAGATAACAATCCAGGCGTATACGATGTTATCGAAGTTGATTGCCCCCTTGTGTGGATTACTATGTCCAGTATGGCATCTAGTATAGTACTGGTTCCAGTTGATACAGAGACCCACTGCACTGTCTGAACCGTTGACTAGTGGTTCAGGGCTGAGCCCCAGGGACTGGCGGTGGTAGGCATCCTCCCTGTCCAGACAGCAGGTCCTTCCCCCCTCCCTCCGGGCTGGGACGTCACCACATGACATGATCCCGTTATCCTGGGCCAGAGAGCAGATGAAAGGGCGCTCGTCATCCTCCTCCGGCTGGTAGTACGGGGCGGGCAGGGTCAGACCTGATGAACTGGAGGGGGAGAGAGAGAAAAAGTGTGTCATAAACATGCATGTGTGATCACACACACACGTAAGCACACAAAGATATATGCACACACACATGCACGGCTGCACACACACACACACACACACACACACACACACATTAACACACCACAGGCACGCACACATACACTTACCCAATTCTGAACTGCTCATGTATTTTTACTATTATGACAGGATAGTAGCGGAAACAGGAAGACAGAGTAGGGGGAGCAGAAGTGCGTAGGGCTCATTTACCCACTTGACCAGACTCCAGTCCGACACTAACCCAACTCTTGGAATATCATATACTCACTACCAGAGTTTTTAAACATGCCTTTAACGCACTTCTGCAATCTTAGCTGAAGTGCCCGTGCAGGTGATTTTTATTTTTGTTAATTAATCTAATGACACACAAAGACCAAATCAGACTTTAAATGATTGTCATCAGTTGAAGTGGAACTAGTAATTTCCCAAAAATCATTGCTGGGCAATTCTACTGAGAATAAATACTGTAGACTAGACAAACCTGACTGGAATGTTTTAGCATACCAATGCATGAATATATGTGTGTCCTGTTTCCTCTATATGAGAGCAGACTGACTATTCATCTGTCTGTTTGAGAGAAATTCCTCTCCTCTCCTCTCCTCTCCTCTCCTCTCCTCTCCTCTCCTCTCCTCTCCTCTCCTCTCCTCTCCTCTCCTCTCCTCTCCTCTCCTCTCCTCTCCTCTCCTCTCCTCTCCTCTCCTCTCCTCTCCATCTCTCTATCCTCTGTTTGCTCTCTCTCTCTGACCAGGAAAGGAACACACCTATAGGTCACATTTAATACTGATTGAAAAAGGGTTCTAAGATGCACACACGCACGCACTTACACACGCATGCGCGCGGACACACACACACACACACACACACACACACACACACACACACACACCCATAGGCCATAGTTCATACATATACACAATACCCCTCAGGAGCAAAGCATTAGGGCTCTAGTCATGGTTCATTGTATTCACTGAAGGGTAAACGGCTCATATCCCTTGGGTGTCATTCCATCACCAGTCTGTCTGTGTTCTGTCTCCTCCTCAATACCAAGCTGTATTCTGCTGACATCTAGTCTTTGTCCTTGACCACAGAGAGAGACCACAGACATACTGAGAACCACAACAGGATCAATAACCACCAAGACTGTCAACTGATCAGACCGACTGCACCGCTTCCTGTTCAGTTGAAGCTAAAGGGAAGCTAAGGTGACTTATATCGACCTGTGTAATAGTATGCATACACACATGGACAGGCGGATGGACAGACGCACACATAGACCTTGCACGCAGACACACAGTGGAGGCTGTGGGGTAGTGGAGTGTGAATGAGAAGTGAACTGCCGCCAGGAGCCTAGCTACAACTACAGCCCAGAACAGCATGCATCAGCACGGCTCAGCACAGAGCGGCAAGCCACTGAGAAAACACCTGCCAGCCAGAGAGGGATGGAGGGACGAAGGGAGAGATGGAGAGGTGTGCAGTCTGTCAGTGTAGCTAGGTTGAAGGAGAAAAAGCAGGGGAGAGAGAGAGGGATGAAAATAAATGGGGGAAAGGGAGGGAAGAGAGAATAATAAGGAAAGGTAATGTAAGAAGGGAGATGATAGGGAGGGAGAGTGATAAAGGAGAGGAAGAGAAAGAGGGAGAGAAGAAGGAGAGGGGTGGAGAGAGAGGGCAACAAGAGTAGAGGAAGAGGAGAGAGATGTAGATGAAGCAAGAGAGGTGTACTGTCCTCCGCTGTAACATTCAGCTACTCCAGCTAACCACCTCCCAGTGCAACCTCTCATCTCACCATTAGCATACTCACTGGCTAATACACAAGGGTCCTTCAATTAAGCATCCAACAACTCTGGCTAACCCTTAGCATTAGTTAATACTATCCTTGAGCTGAGCTTTCTGCTACACAAGTTAAAGCTCCCATCTGAAAGCTGCCATGGACACTTAACTGCTTAAAGAGATAGAACGGGATCTTAAGCACTTACAAATTCGAAACATATCATACAAATTGCATAAAAAAAAAATATATATATATATACACTGTATATATACATACAGTGGGGAAAAAATGTATTTAGTCAGCCACCAATTGTGCAAGTTCTCCCACTTAAAAAGATGAGAGAGGCCTGTAATTTTCATCATAGGTACAAGTCAACTATGACAGACAAATTGAGGAAAAAAAATCCAGAAAATCACATTGTAGGATTTTTTATGAATTTATTTGCAAATGATGGTGGAAAATAAGTATTTGGTCACCTACAAACAAGCAAGATTTCTGGCTCTCACAGACCTGTAACTTCTTCTTTAAGAGGCTCCTCTGTCCTCCACTCATTACCTGTATTAATGGCACCTGTTTGAACTTGTTATCAGTATAAAAGACACCTGTCCACAACCTCAAACAGTCACACTCCAAACTCCACTATGGCCAAGACCAAAGAGCTGTCAAAGGACACCAGAAACAAAATTGTAGACCTGCACCAGGCTGGGAAGACTGAATCTGCAATAGGTAAGCAGCTTGGTTTGAAGAAATCAACTGTGGGAGCAATTATTAGGAAATGGAAGACATACAAGACCACTGATAATCTCCTTCGATCTGGGGCTCCACGCAATTTCTCACCCCATGGGGTCAAAATGATCACAAGAACGGTGAGCAAAAATCCCAGAACCACACGGGGGGACCTAGTGAATGACCTGCAGAGAGCTGGGACCAAAGTAACAAAGCCTACCATCAGTAACACACTACGCCGCCAGGGACTCAAATCCTGCAGTGCCAGACGTGTCCCCCTGCTTAAGCCAGTACATGTCCAGGCCCGTCTGAAGTTTGCTAGAGTGCATTTGGATGATCCAGAAGAGGATTGGGAGAATGCCATATGGTCAGATGAAACCAAAATATAACTTTTTGGTAAAAACTCAACTTGTCGTGTTTGGAGGACAAAGAATGCTGAGTTGCACCATACCTACTGTGAAGCATGGGGGTGGAAACATCATGCTTTGGGGCTGTTTTTCTGCAAAGGGACCAGGACGACTGATCCGTGTAAAGGAAAGAATGAATGGGGCCATGTATCGTGAGATTTTGAGTGAAAACCTCCTTCCATCAGCAAGGGCATTGAAGATGAAACGTGGCTGGGTCTTTCAGCATGACAATGTTCCCAAACACACTGCCCGGGCAACGAAGGAGTGGCTTCGTAAGAAGCATTTCAAGGTCCTGGAGTGGCCTAGCCAGTCTCCAGATCTCAACCCCATAGAAAATCTTTGGAGGGAGTTGAAAGTCCGTGTTGCCCAGCGACAGCCCCAAAACATCACTGCTCTAGAGGAGATCTGCATGGAGGAATGGGCCAAAATACCAGCAACAGTGTGTGAAAACCTTGTGAAGACTTACAGAAAACGTTTGACCTGTGTCATTGCCAACAAAGGGTATATAACAAAGTATTGAGAAACTTTTGTTATTGACCAAATACGTATTTTCCACCATAATTTGCAAATAAATTCATAAAAAATCATACAATGTGATTTTCTGGATATCTTTTTCTAATTTTGTCTGTCATAGTTGACGTGTACCTATGAAGAAAATTACAGGCGTCTCTCATCTTTTTAAGTGGGAGAACTTGCACAATTGGTGGCTGACTAAATACTTTTTTTCCCCACTGTATAAACTCAGTAAAAAAAGAAACGTCCTCTCACTGTCAACTGCGTTTATTTTCAGCAAACTTAACATGTGTAAATATTTGTATGAACATAACAAGATTCAACAACTGAGACATAAACTGAACAAGTTCCACAGACATGTGACTAACAGAAATGGAATAATGTGTCCCTGAACAAAGGGGGGGTCAAAATCAAAAGTAACAGTCAGTATATGGTGTGGCCACCAGCTGCATTAAGTACTGCAGTGCATCTCCCCTCATGGACTGCACCAGATTTGCCAGTTCTTGCTGTGAGATGTTACCCCACTCTTCCACCAAGGCACCTGCAAGTTCCCGGACATTTCTGGGGGGAATGGCCCTAGCCTTCACCCTCCGATCCAACAGGTCCCAGATGTGCTCAATGGGATTGAGATCCAGGCTCTTCGCTGGCCATGGCAGAACACTGACATTCCTGTCTTGCAGGAAATCACACACAGAACGAGCAGTATGGCTGGTGGCAATGTCATGCTGGAGGGTCATGTCAGGATGAGCCTGCAGGAAGGGTACCACATGAGGGAGGAGGCTGTCTTCCCTGTAACGCACAGCGTTGAGATTGCCTGCAATGACAACAAGCTCAGTCCGATGATGCTGTGACATCGCCCCAGACCATGACGGACCCTCCACCTACAAATCGATCCTGCTCCAGAGTACAGGCCTCGGTGTAACGCTCATTCCTTCGACGATAAACGCGATTCCGACCATCACCCCTGGTTAGACAAAACCGCGACTCGTCAGTGAAGAGCACTTTTTGCCAATCCTGTCTGGTCCAGCGACGGTGGGTTTGTGCCCATAGGCGACGTTGTTGCCGGTGATGTCTGGTGAGGACCTGCCTTACAACAGGCCTACAAGCCCTCAGTCCAGCCTCTCTCAGCCTATTGCTGTTCCTGATGTAACTTGGGCAGTTGTTGTTGCCATCCTGTACCTGTCCCGCAGGTGTGATGTTCGGATGTACCGATCCTGTGCAGGTGTTGTTACACGTGGTCTGCCACTGCGAGGACGATCAGCTGTCCGTCCTGTCTCCCTATAGCGCTGTCTTATGCGTCTCACAATAACGGACATTGCAATTTATTGCCCTGGCCACATCTGCAGTCCTCATGCCTCCTTGCAGCATGCCTAAGGCACGTTCACGCAGATGAGCAGGGACCCTGGGCATCTTTCTTTTGGTGTTTTTCAGAGTCAGTAGAAAGGCATCTTTAGTGTCCTAGGTTTTCATAATTGCCTACCGTCTGTAATTGTCTACGTCTTAACGACCGTTCCACAGGTGCATGTTCATTAATTGTTTATGGTTCATTGAACAAGCATGGGAAACAGTGTTTAAACCCTTTACAATGAAGATCTGTGAAGTTATTTGGATTTTTACGAATTATCTTTGAAAGACAGGGTCCTGAAAAAGGGCCTTTTAATTATTATTATTTTGTACACAATTGTTTTGCCTCGTGAGTCCTACTTCCAGAACTACTGGTTGAAAACTATACAAAACCTCTGTAACGCATCTTTAAACTATGGTAGCAAAGTTACATCAAATGTATGTCCCTTGGGACAAAGTTATCACCATACTTCAGTGCAGACTTGCAATAGCTACTCCCCCAAGAAAGTGCTAAAAGTGTCTACCATTTATACACAAACTGTTTAACGTTAGTAAGACATGGCTATTGGGTTTCAGCATTATCTTACACCTTTCTAAAATGTGACTTCCAACTAGGAGTGTTTACAGTTTAAGTGAGGGACAAAGTCAGCCAAATAGGACATGGGTCCTCTTTCTCTCTGGCATTAGACCAATGATTAATACAAGCTGAGGTCAGCATAGATAGAACACACAGACTCTGGAAGGAGACACTGTCAGGAACACAGATACCCCTCTGAATCAGATTATAACTCACCAGGAGAGCAGACACATACAGTGGGGAAAAAAAGTATTTAGTCAGCCACCAATTGTGCAAGTTCTCCCACTTAAAAAGATGAGAGACGCCTGTAATTTTCTTCATAGGTACACGTCAACTATGACAGACAAAATTAGAAAAAGATATCCAGAAAATCACATTGTATGATTTTTTATGAATTTATTTGCAAATTATGGTGGAAAATAAGTATTTGGTCAATAACAAAAGTTTCTCAATACTTTGTTATATACCCTTTGTTGGCAATGACACAGGTCAAACGTTTTCTGTAAGTCTTCACAAGGTTTTCACACACTGTTGCTGGTATTTTGGCCCATTCCTCCATGCAGATCTCCTCTAGAGCAGTGATGTTTTGGGGCTGTCGCTGGAAAACACAGACTTTCAACTCCCTCCAAAGATTTTCTATGGGGTTGAGATCTGGAGACTGGCTAGGCCACTCCAGGACCTTGAAATGCTTCTTACGAAGCCACTCCTTCGTTGCCCGGGCGGTGTGTTTGGGATCATTGTCATGCTGAAAGACCCAGCCACGTTTCATCTTCAATGCCCTTGCTGATGGTAAGGAGGTTTTCACTCAAAATCTCACGATACATGGCCCCATTCATTCTTTCCTTTACACGGATCAGTTGTCGTGGTCCCTTTGCAGAAAAACAGCCCCAAAGCATGATGTTTCCACCCCCATGCTTCACAGTAGGTATGGTGTTCTTTGGATGCAACTCAGCATTCTTTGTCCTCCAAACACGACGAGTTGAGTTTTTACCAAAAAGTTATATTTTGGTTTCATCTGACCATATGACATTCTCCCAATCCCAGCTCTCTTCTGGATCATCCAAATGCACTCTAGCAAACTTCAGACGGGCCTGGACATGTACTGGCTTAAGCAGGGGGACACGTCTGGCACTGCAGGATTTGAGTCCCTGGCGGCGTAGTGTGTTACTGATGGTAGGCTTTGTTACTTTGGTCCCAGCTCTCTGCAGGTCATTCACTAGGTCCCCCCGTGTGGTTCTGGGATTTTTGCTCACCGTTCTTGTGATCATTTTGACCCCACGGGGTGAGATCTTGCGTGGAGCCCCAGATCGAGGGAGATTATCAGTGGTCTTGTATGTCTTCCATTTCATAATAATTGCTCCCACAGTTGATTTCTTCAAACCAAGCTGCTTACCTATTGCAGATTCAGTCTTCCCAGCCTGGTGCAGGTCTACAATTTTGTTTCTGGTGTCCTTTGACAGCTCTTTGGTCTTGGCCATAGTGGAGTTTGGAGTGTGTCTGTTTGAGGTTATGGACAGGTGTCTTTTATACTGATAACAAGTTCAAACAGGTGCCATTAATACAGGTAACGAGTGGAGGACAGAGGAGCCTCTTAAAGAAGAAGTTACAGGTCTGTGAGAGCCAGAAATCTTGCTTGTTTGTAGGTGACCAAATACTTATTTTCCACCATAATTTGCAAATAAATTCATTAACAAATCCTACAATGTGATTTTCTGGTAAAAAAATGCTCAATTTGTCTGTCATAGTTGACGTGTACCTATGATGAAAATTACAGGCCTCTCTCATCTGTTTAAGTGGGAGAACTTGCACAATTGGTGGCTGACTAAATACTTTTTTCCCCCACTGTATGTGCACACGCGCACACACACACACACACACACACACAAACACACACGTGTATGCACACGCACAAGTATTAACACACACACACGTACAGACCCACTCACTCACTCACATACAGTGCCATTCTGTCATTGGCAAGGTTAGCGCGGGCATTCACGTTACATCTCGGTCATGAATATGGAGAGGCGACCGAGGAATTTAATCACGTACAGCTACTGACTGGGAGGAGATAGTCTTGTCGAGGATAAATCACACCACAATCAAATTAACACACGCATGCACACACACACACACACACACACACACAGTCACTCACAGGGTGAAGTTTTCCTCGAGGTAGCAACGGTTCCTCAGTAGTCCCGCCCACAGCTGCACTCCGATGATGCCGAAGATGAAGAAGACGAAGAAACAAAGCAGGAGGACGTTTCCCAACATGGGCAGAGTGTCCAGGAGGAGATTCACCAGGATACGCATACCTAAAACACACACACATGCATTATAATAAACAAACACACACTTATTTAAAATTAGAATATTGTCGAGTATATATAATGGCGCCGGAGGCGATGGCTGCCATTTTACGGGCTCCTAACCAATTGTGCTACTGTGTGTGTTTTTCCGCGTTATTTGTAACTTATTTTGTACATAATGTTTCTGCCACCGTCTCTTATGACCGAAAAGAGCTTCTGGATATTAGAACAGCGATTACCCACCTCATATTGGACGAAGATTTTTTCTTTAACGAGTCGGACACGAAGGATTTACTTTTGACACCAGACAAGGCACAAATCCCCGTCATTCACATGAAGAAAAGACGGAAATATAGGGGACGTAGGTCGGGGTGCCTTGTAAGAATCCGACGGCGAATGGGTAACCCGCCTCTACCATCTGTCCTATTAGTCAATGTGCAATCATTGGATAATAAACTGGATGATCTCCGATCAAGACCATCCTACCAACGGGACAATAAAAACTGTAATATCTTATGTTTCACCGAGTTGTGGCTGAATGACAACATGGATAACATACAGCTGGCTGGGTTTCCGTGCATCGGCAAGATAGAACAGCTGCCTCCGGTAAGACAAGGGGTAGTGGTCTGTGTCTATTCGTCAATAACAGCTGGTGCACGAAATCTAATATTAAGGAAGTCTCAAGGTTTTGCTCGCCTGAGGTAGAGTATCTCATGATAAGCTGTAGACCACACTATTTACCAAGAGGGTTTTCATCTATGTTTCTCGAAGCTGTCTATTTACCACCACAAACCGATGCTGGCACTAAGACCGCACTCAACGAGTTGTATAAGGCCATAAGCAAACAAGAAAATGCTCATCCAGAGGCGGCGCTCCTAGTGGCCGGGGACTTTAATGCAGGGAAACTTAAATCCGTTTTACCTAATTTCTACCAGCATGTTACATGTGCAGCCAGAGGAAAAAAACTCTAGACCACCTTTACTCCACACACAGAGACGCGTACAAAGCTCTCCCTCACCCTCCATTTGGCAAATTTGACTATAACTCTATCCTCTTAATTCCTGCTTACAAGCAAAAACTAAAGCAGGAAGTACCAGTGACTCGCTCAATAAGGAAGTGGTCAGATGACGCAGATGCTAAGCTACAGGACTGTTTTGCTAGCACAGACTGGAATATGTTCCGGGATTCTTCCGATGGCATTGAGGAGTACACCACATCAGTCACTGGCTTAATCAATAAGTGCATCGAGGACGTCGTGGATTTCAGGCAACATCTGCACTAAGCTAAAGGGTAGAGCTGTCGCTTTCAAGGAGCGGGACACTAACCCGGATGCTTAAAAGAAATCCAACTATGCCCCCGACGAACCATCAAACAGGCAAAGCATCAATACAGGACTAAGATTTAATCCTACTACACAGGCTCCAACACTCGTCGGATGTGGCAGGGCTTGCAAACTATTACGGGCTACAAAGGGAAGCACAGCCGCAAGCTACCCAGTGACACGAGCCTACCAGACAAGCTAAATGACTTCTATGCGCATTTCGAGGCAAGCAACACTGAAGCATGCATGAGAGCACCAGCTGTTCCGGATGACTGTGTGATCACGCTCTCTGTAGCCGATGTGTGTAAGACCTTTAAACAGGTCAACATTCACAAGGCCGCAGGGCCAGATGGATTACCAGGACGTGTACTCCGAGCATGCTCTGACCAACTGGCAAGTGTCTTCACTGACATTTTCAACCTGTCCCTGACCGAGTCTGTAATACTAACATGTTTCAAGCAGACCACCATAGTCCCAGTGCCCAAGAACACCAAGGTAACCTGCTTAAATGATTAACGACCTGTACCACTCACGTCTGTAGCCATGAAGTGCTTTGAAAGGCTGGTCATGGCTCACGTCAACACCATTATCTCAGAAACCCTAGACCCACTCCAATTTGCATACCGGCCCAACAGATCCACAGATGACGCAATCTCAATTGCACTCCACACTGCCCTTTTCCACATGGACAAAAGGATCACCTACGTGAGAACGCTATTCATTGACTACAGCTCAGCGTTCAACCTCATAGTGTCCTGAAAGCTCATCACTAAGCTAAGGACCCTGGGACTAAACACCTCCCTCTGCAAATGGATCCTGGACTTCCTGACGGGCCGCCCCCAGGTGGTAAGGGTAGGTAACAACACATTGCCACGCTGATCCTCAACACGGGGGCCCCTCAGGGGTGCGTGCTCAGTCCCCTCCTGTACTCCCTGTTCACCCATGACTGCATGCCCAAGCACGACTCCAACACCATTATTACGTTTGCCGATGACACAATTGTTGTAGGCCTGATCACAGACAACGATGAGACAGCCTATAGGGAGGAGAGTGGTGCCAGGATAACAACCTCTCCCTCAACGTGATCAAGACAAAGGAGATGATCGTGGACTACAGGAAAAGTAGGGCTGAACACGCCCCCATTCTCATCGACGGGGCTGTAGTGTAGCAGGTTGAGATCTTCAAGTTCCCTGGTGTCCACATCACCAACGAACTATCGTGGTCCAAACACACCAAGAAAGTTGCTTTATTTGTTTCATCTTTAAAAATATATATTTTACTTTTAGTAAATACTTTCTTAACACTTATTTATTTTAAAACTGCATTGTTGATTAAGGGCTTGTAAGTAAGCATTTCACTGTAAGGTGTAACCTGTTGTATTCGGCGCATGTGACAAATAACATTTGATTTTTAGTATTTTTGTTGAGTAGTAACAGCAGGACACACGTACTGTATCTAAAACACACAGACAGACACAAAACATATGGACACAGAACATTCAGGTCTTCCATAAGTAGCATAGACATTGTTCTGTCCATATAGGTTGATGGTGGACCTGTCCCATATCCCATATCCCCAAGTGATGGCATAATGACAGGAGAGGCTACCGTTGGACCTGCCCCGTGTTGATGACATAATGAAACATGATTAGTACATGAGCAGATGGGCAGATATGTCCCGTGATGATGACATAAAGACAGCTGATTGCAGTAATGAGGAAGTGGAGTGGCGACTGGCAGTGTTCTCTGTAGGACTGACACCAGAGACCTCTGAAGCACCACTCAGAGAGACTCACTGACAGGTGTGTGTGTTGTTTGTGTGTGTGTGTGTGTGTGTGTGTGTGTGTGTGTGTGTGTGTGTGTGTGTGTGTGTGTGTGTGTGTGTGTGTGTGTGTGTGTATGTGTGTATGTGTGTGAGTGTGTGAGTGTGTGTGTGTGTGTGCACGCGCGTGTTTGTGTCACGCTGTGTTTCATGAGAAGAGACACCACTGGCGGTTAATACAACCCAGGTACAACAGTGAGGTCTGTGAGAGAGAAAAACAGAGAGGGAGAGGCAGATACATACCTATAGAGGAACTAATGTATGTCTACCTATAGAGGAACTAATGTATGTATACCTATAGAGGAACTAATGTATGTCTACCTATAGAGGAACTAATGTATGTCTACCTATAGAGGAACTAATGTATACCTATAGAGGAACTAATGTATGTATACCTATAGAGGAACTAATGTATGTATACCTATAGAGGAACTAATGTATGTATACCTATAGAGGACCTAATGTATGCCTACCTATAGAGGAACTAATGTATGTATACCTATAGAGGACCTAATGTATGTATACCTATAGAGGAACTAATGTATGTCTACCTATAGAGGAACTAATGTATGTATACCTATAGAGGAACTAATGTATGTATACCTATAGAGGAACTAATGTATGCATACCTATAGAGGAACTAATGCATGTCTACCTATAGAGGAACTAATGTATGCATACCTATAGAGGAACTAATGCATGTCTACCTATAGAGGAACTAATGTATGCATACCTATAGAGGAACTAATGTATGTCTACCTATAGAGGAACTAATGTATGTATACCTATAGAGGAACTAATGTATGTATACCTATAGAGGAACTAATGTATGCATACCTATAGAGGAACTAATGCATGTCTACCTATAGAGGAACTAATGTATGCATACCTATAGAGGAACTAATGCATGTCTACCTATAGAGGAACTAATGTATGTATATCTATAGAGGAACTAATGTATGTCTACCTATAGAGGACCTAATGTATGTCTACCTATAGAGGAACTAATGTATGTATACCTATAGAGGAACTAATGTATGTCTACCTATAGAGGAACTAATGTATGTCTACCGATAGAGGAACTAATGTATGTGTACCTATAGAGGAACTAATGTATGTATACCTATAGAGGAACTAATGTATGCATACCTATAGAGGAACTAATGCATGTCTACCTACAGAGGAACTAATGTATGTATACCTATAGAGGAACTAATGTATGTATACCTATAGAGGAACTAATGTATGTATACCTATAGAGGAACTAATGTATACCTATAGAGGAACTAATGTTCACTCAAAATCTCACGATACATGGCCCCATTCATTCTTTCCTTTACACGGATCAGTCGTCCTGGTCCCTTTGCAGAAAAACAGCCCCAAAGCATGATGTTTCCACCCCCATGCTTCACAGTAGGTATGGTGTTCTTTGGATGCAACTCAGCATTCTTTGTCCTCCAAACACCACGAGTTGAGTTTTTACCAAAAAGTTATATTTTGGTTTCATCTGACCATATGACATTCTACCAATCCTCTTCTGGATCAACCAAATGCACTCTAGCAAACTTCAGACGGGCCTGGACATGTACTGGCTTAAGCAGGGGGACATGTCTGGCACTGCAGGATTTGAGTCCCTGGCGGCGTAGTGTGTTACTGATGGTAGGCTTTGTTACTTTGGTCCCAGCTCTCTGCAGGTCATTCACTAGGTCCCCCCGTGTGGTTCTGGGATTTTTGCTCACCGTTCTTGTGATCATTTTGACCCCACGGGGTGAGATCTTGCGTGGAGCCCCAGATCGAGGGAGATTATCAGTGGTCTTGTATGTCTTCCATTTCCTAATAATTGCTCCCACAGTTGATTTCTTCA